CGCGACTTGTCAACGAGCACACGCGTTATCACGCTAAAAAAGCCGCAAAGAAAAAAAGAAATAAGTGCTCAAGGTCTCGAGGCGCACGCGACGCATATTTTTTGCCCCTGCCATCCCTGCCTGCTTAGTTTCCAGCGCTTTCGTCGGGACAAGAAAAGAGAGAATGCGATTGGAGCGTGCGACAAATCTTCGTAACTCCGCTCATACTGGATGGATTCTTAAAATTTTTGCCACATTAAATTCTTGAGGCAATAAGCTCTTTTAGTGAATCCATTCCATAGTTACTTGAAAAAGTGTTTCAGGGTCTTTTTAAGATAAGTCATATCTCTGTAGCTTACCTGAACAAAGCATTGTTAATCATGATAGGCAAGGGAAATAATGCAAGCATCATTTAGCTATGTCACAAACAGTCGCAATGTCATAAATAAATATAGGACGAAAAGTGTCATGTGCAGACCGTGGGCCGCTAGCGGAAGGTCGACGGGCTGTGTGCTTAGGACCTCTGGCCTAGGTTGTTGATGTTGGCAACTTGTTGCGGTGTATTTTGCTGCTATGCATTTGAGAATGAGCAGGTTGAGCAGGTACACAGTTAGTTTGAGGAATTCGTTACGAATACATTGTGTACTGGTGCTTATTTTGTGTAAAATAAAAACAGGCTAGCCGCCAGGCACCTGCTGGCGGAGCCGTCAACTTGTGATGCAAACTGCATTGTGATCACAGGCTGGTTCTGTTATAGTGATGTGAGTTCGAATTAACAGCGTATTGCAGACTTTGTTCAATGATGTATTGAATCGAGCATTGAAAGGAAGGTCAGAAAAACTTGCACCGCCAAAGTTTCTCTGTCCAGATGATGGGAAGCACAGCACTTTCCTATCCTTCAAATTCAGAAAAAGCAAAACTGCTGCACTGGTTACACGAAGGTATCAGTGACATCACCGCAGTGGAAACGTAGGCTAATTGAATCAGTGGGCATGCTATTTATTGTGTTGCTTGTGTTGTGTTTCAGAAATATTGTTTGGGAACATTTGATAATCACTGCTATCTCGCCCACCCCTAGCTCACTATCTATGAAATGATGCTGCTGAGTTTGCCTTTTCAGTCTAAATGCAGCTGCTGCATTTTCATGGGGACAAAGTGCATAAGCATTCTTGTATGTAGATTTTCTAGGTGTTCAAAGTTAATCTATAATCCCCAACCATGACATCATTCATAATGAGATCACAATTTAGTACTATGAAAAATGATATGTTAGGTAACCTCCAAGTTTCAAAGGCTTGACTTAGACTCTTGTTTGCACCAAGAGACAGAGCAGTTAAGCAATTGTTAAGCCATTGAAACAAACAAAATGTTTTTGAAGCTCACATCTCCAAAGGCAATATTCAAAATTCATACCAGCTTTGTCCATGGCCTCTGCATTTCTTCATTATCTGGTAGTCATGGCACAATATCTGGTAGATGTTCAGTATGCTTATACTTCTTTATTAGAAAGTTTTATATATAGCACATACAAATGTACTATTTGCGTACTGTAAAACCAATTCCAAGTTTACATTGTTAATAACAATAATTGATAAGTCAGTGCCATTAGGTGCAAAATATATGTCACTAGTAGAGCTCCAGGAAGCTTTGAACTTGAGATCTGCTTCACAGAAGTTGTTCTGTCAAAGATAAAGCAGCATTGAAGCACGTGTCATAAAGCAAATGTTGGTTGCGCGAATTTCACAATATGGTGAGGCAATACTTGTCATAACCACTATAAAAAAAGGCAGGCCTCCTACCTGATAGTGGCTAGATCACTGTAACCGTTAAGTGTTTGGGCATGGGTGATTACACTTGGTTCACAGTCTTTTAAAGAAGAAGTCAGTTTAATAGTGCATATTTCCATAGTCCTGCAACATCATTAACTCCATAGTTTAAGACATAAACACGAGCCTATATGCTTCTGCAAAAGTTAGTTAATAACTGTGCAATCTTTGTAATAAAGCTTCCTTGGTATGTCTACTAGGCTGCACTTGGTATATAGGTATGTCTGTTAAATATATTATGACTTGAATATCATGCACTCTTTTTTTTTTTAATGGGTACTACAGCTGGGTCATTCCGTGATTTTAGCAGAGCAATTCAGAGGGGATAGCTTTACGAACATCTAAGGAATGTGAAAAAAAAAGGTGGAACATGCAAAGCACGAAATACAGAAACATTGCTCTAACATCAATATATTACTGTTTTGCATCATGATAATGATCTATTTCTCTGCTACTTTGATATAAGTAGAGATTAAAACTTGTGTGCACTTGGTTTCTGCAATGTAAAATTGTGCTTATCAGCCATAAAACAACTGCACCACTTCAGAAAAAAAAAATAATGCGGCAGATAAAAGAAACACTGTAATGGTGTGAAGACTCTGTGTGAGCAAGATTATAATAATGTGTGACCGCTAGTGTCTGCAACCAATTAACCCAAGCGACTGGCCGAGAAAAGCTTAATGGACATTTATTGTTTTTCAATGTAGTAATTATTGCGTAAAGTGAAATGCATTAAACAGGACAAAAAAAAAATGGGGGACCCTTAAGCTTTGCTTTTGAAATTTAAGCGCGATAGCGATATTCTGTTCCTAGTGCGTACTTCAAAGACTTAGTGTTTGAAATCTTTTTGAACTTGCTATGTATCCACTAGATGGTCTTGACGGTGCTGTAGACTGTGTGCCTTTTGTAGTGGGTGAATGGCTTTAAACTATGCATAATGATCCCATGTTTTGACACGCCATGACAATTTGTGCTTGGGTCACGCATTATTACGGCAATATTTTATGTTGTGTTGTGAAGCATGTATACAGGACGAGTGTGTTTGTAAAGCATGAAAATAACATTTGCTGCATTGCCAAGCAAAGAACATTATTTTCTGTATTCACAAGCGGAGTCCTGTCTGTGTGGTAGAACACCCTCTTGCCATGCAAACAAACCGGGTTCGATCTCCACTCAGACCCACCCGATCTGGGTTCAATTCCACTGGCACCCAATATTTTTTTATTTGCATCTTCCCCAGTTTTTTGGTTATGCAAAGATGCTCGATTTTTCTGTCACGCAAAGATGATTTTTCGCTCACAACCAACGACGCCAGAATTTCTGCGAAATGAGCTCTTTAACGCTATCATGCTAAAACTCACCTTCTCCTTTGATGAAATGTTAACACACAACCTTTTAATTACGTATCTACAGCTCTATAATTGGAGGTTATGGGTTTGGATCTCACCGACAGACAGGGTGATATTCATCCCCTTTAGTTCAATTTCGTTATAGGGGCCCTGTAATGCTTTTCGAAGTAATCATTGTATGGCTTCATTAACAGAGCTTATTGCTTCAAAAAACTTGTAAATTACAGTGATTTGTCACAGACTTCTTTGTTTCACCTCTCCTTTTATACCAGCAAGTGTATTGAAAGCTACGGGGGGGGGGGGGGGGGGGGTGACAAGGGAGCAATGAAATGTATTCCTCACAGCGCGTCATGGCCATGATGGACTTTGCTCTCTTTTATTATTTTTTTCTTTGAACGCGCAGCTTGCCTTCAGTGTGATCACGTACGCCCGCGTGCCCCGCGGCGGTGGTCCAGTGACTAAGGTACTCGGCTGCTGACCCGCAGGTCGCGGGATCGAATCCCGGCTGCGGTGGCTGCATTTCCGGTGGAGGCGGAAATGTTGTAGGCTTGTGTGCTCATATTTGGGTGCACGTTAAAGAAGCCCAGGTGGTCGGAATTTCCGGAGCCCCCCACTACGGCGTCTCTCATAATCGATTATATGGTGGTTTTGGGACGTTGAACACCACATATCAATCAATCAATTATGTACGCTTGTGTGCGTTGGGGCATGTGGCGGCATTCTGCTACAACCGTAGTACCTTTGCAGCCCACGATGCTCTGATCAGCCAATAGCCATGCACTTGGGAGTTCACGTCATGGTCTTGTGGGTTTGGGGCATCATTTGTCAAGCGAAGACGGAATAATTTCTGCCGCCTTTGAGACATAATTTTAAATTCCAGGCCGTGTGCTGCGCTGTAATGTTTGGCCTCAGGACCCTCTAATACCGATCGGCAGCGTTTCGTGACCATGCTGAAAAGTATTGCAGAGTCTCTTTAACGTCATAATTACTGCAATATATTTGAAGCCAATCAATCTTCCCTATGCTTTCTTTGGTCTAATGTATGTTGGACTCATTCGGTTGTGTGTAACAAATAAGTAATGTATTAGGTTAGCATGCGTGGGTTTATTGTCCTGCTGCTGCCTCGTGCAAAGGTGATGTGACGCCTTCTTGCAAAAGGTTTCCACACTCGCCGTTGCGGCTACTGGAAGCACTCACTAACACTCCCAGGGATTATACCCGCAGGAGTATCCAATGAAAAGTGGAAGGGGAAGCACGTTTTGTTAAGCTTTGGATGCGTAATTCCAAGGTTATAGATTCAGATACCTACATCGGAGGGGGTGATTCTTTGTCCACATAAATTTATTTCAACTTATATCATTATTCTCAAGATACAGTTAGGGACAACAATTAAGATTCTCTCTGCCAAATTGCTTATTGGATTCATGAATTATTATCCCTTATCCTAATTGCTTATTGGATTGATTTGGTTGTGTCTGACAAACAAGCGTGCGCCTCGAAAAAATTCCCTTTTCTTTCGCTATTGTCTGCAGAAATTTTCATTTCTGCAAAAAGGATGCCCCGCAAGAAGAAAAATGTATTCATTGCTATTTTAATGAAATAAATTTTAATGTAAGTTGCCCACTATAGTAGTACTTGGGGTAACAGTATGTCTCACTGTTTGCATTTCGTGCCATCTCTTTTGCCTATTTGCAGTGGGACTGAATGTACACCTTTAATTGAGCTTGTCAATAGGATGTCATTAACATGTAGTGATGTAGCTGAAAATTCACTTATGGTGCATTAAGTAGCTTGGTCACTTTCAACTTCACGGTCAAAGATGGACCTCTCTGTGATTTTGTTACAGGTGGACCTTCTCACATCTCGTGACACAGAAAGAAGATAGAACGTGGGAGATATAATGAAAATTTTTTCATATTTTCTACAAGAAATTGTTGTCGTTCAGTGTGATAATGTGTTTAAACAGCACATCGTAGGAGTACCACGTATGACGTTTCCCTGAGGGCTAAGTCTTTACCCAAGTGGAAAGGTCGTACGTGAGTACACCTCACTCTCTTCGCGATTGCACTATATCATCTGACATGAAGCCTAGTGCATGTGCTTACATTGAAGGTGTACACGCGACCTAGTTAATTGACCGATCCCTGCCCGAACAACGGGTAGGTAAGCGTATACCGTCCTTGAAATAGCACAGTTCACGGTAACAGAATGCTGACGCATCTTCAGCAGTAACGCGTGTCATGTTATATACTGACTCATTGTGAAGAGCAGACGTGCTGCTCACATGCTATTTCCTTCTCCCCCGACACATCGTCATCTGGAATAACAACTTGCTGGCGCGTACGCCATTACATTGTTAAGCTTGCGGGCGTAGCTTAGCGTTCATTGCTTAACGGGAGCCTGCAAGAGGTTAGCGTACGATGCATGCGCAAGGAAAACCTTTCCGTTGTGCTGTTCTAAAACTCTATTCTGAAACTCACTGACGATTGACCCACATCGTGCGGCTCCGAACAAACGAAAGACAAATGGCTAACACCCTCATTAATGTCAGTCGTTCTGTTTTGGGTAATCTTCCTTGTGGACCTGGAGTGCCAGCTTTAATTTGATGGAACACTAAAGAAAAGAGCGTTTTTTTTTTTGCGTATTAGTGAAGTTACAATATCACAATCCCGAAAACGCCCGCGAGACGACGCTTGGTACACGAGAGAACGCGCGAAAAAAAAAAATGTGGACGGAGGCGTCTCCTGGAAATTCTCGCACCAAACGCCGTGCCATAGATTTACTCGGTCCCACGTCGTTCTTAATAAAAATGAAGTAAATTGTCATCTGTAGGGGCCCTAGGCCTAACGTACGAAGTTTCAGAAAATTTCATGTAGCGAATGTCATAAAAATACAAAATATACACATTGAAGTTCGTGACGTCGCGTGCGGAGATAAGGCGCGAAATTTTAAAATGAAACTTCAACCTTGATTTTATCCTCTAATAACGAACTTATGGTGAAACTTAAGACCTTACAGTTCTCAGGGTACAGTTTATCAATCTGAACCAAGCCATTGTTTTTAGTGTTCCTTTAAAACTGAAGCCAGCAGTCGCGCAAGCGTGCTTCAATAAATTGGGGGAAGGAGGGCGGAGAGTGAAGAGGGCTCACCCTCTTCACTCTCCGCTCCCCCCCCCCCCCTCTCACCCTTGCCCGACTCTGCGCGCGCCTATGCTCAGACGGATAGGCGCGCGCAGGAGGTAGGCAGAGGCGGCGCCCCCATAGACACCTACGAGGGGAGGTGAGCGTGCCCCATACATGAAATTAATGAAGTGGTGGTGCTGCAATAACCCTCCCCTCTCCCCCTTCGAAGGGCTACACTGAGCACGCTTATGCTCATACGCAACCCCGGTCGGCGAGATTAACTACTGTATCCTGTTGGCCCCATCTGTACGCCTGATCCTACCGAGGCTTTCGGAAGGGGTCTGTACACTTCTTTCTCTAGACTGCCCCTATGTACTTACGTCTCACCAGTTAGACTATGTCATGCAGTTTCTCATTGATTTATATAATGCGAAGCAGTGCCGTGGACGAAAGTTTGATACATAAAAATTAGCGAGCTTGATACACACGGAGCTAACCGGCTACATGACTTGCTTGACCATATAAAAGAAAATTGGCAGCACGAAGGTAATCTGGTAAAATCTCGAACGCGATCTTTTGGTTGCAAAAAAAAAGAAAAAAACTGAAAAGAAGCACGTCAACGTGAAAGTTGCCTCCGTATCATCATGCGAGTGCTAGGCAGTCACATTGGTGAAATGGTCCGCTGCTGCAAAACCCTGCTTCAAACATGAGGGGGCGTTGCTGTGATGCTGCGCAACTACACACCAAATCAACGAAACGTTTTTTGCCGGTCACTAAAGCGACACGAAAGACCACAGGACAGCTTGGGAGTACGCTTGGATGACATCCTGGCACTCTCGAGCAACCAGTGGGATTGACTTCACGTCCTCCACAACACCACAAGTGCCACTGCCACAAGTCCGGCGGGAGCGAAGGTTGCACTGGCAGAGATAGCATCGGCTTGGCTGCAGAGGTACCAGCAGTTGGCGGTGTACATGTCGCTCAGAAGCTTTCGCGTTGCAGTCATCATCACGGTCACAAGGTAGTCAACTTCGTGGTGGCATCCTGAAAGATGCACAGCTTCGCGGATGCAGTCTTCAAACTTGACCGTGGCGCTGCTGGGAAGATCAGAAAGCGTCGCTTTTAGCTGGTAGAATGGTTAAAAGCATAACGTTGCATGAAAGGCGCAAACCGGATAACGCCGATACATATTGAACAGTTACTGCATTATGGTAATGTTTTTCGCAGCGATTTTACACTCGCTTCTACTCTGCACTGCAGGCATACATATCAGATTGGGTGCGCCACTGTCACTCATGCATTACTTTACGATAATGGGCAGTCAATATACTGACGCCTGCATGTGTGTGATGATAAGTATGCAGTAAATCTCGAACTTTACGCCGTCATATTTGCCATCTAGTTACTATAGGAAGCTATTGTGATATCAAATCGTTACGCATGACTTTATCGGTGTTTCTTTCAGACTTAACCATACGGATATCTCGTCGACGGTCGAATAACCCTACAGGCTGCGAACAGTAGCAGACATTCTATAGGCTCTGGAATACGCGATTCCCCTGCATATGTGCCGGAGCAGCGTGATGATTAGCCAGAATATGTTGAGGACTGTGCATCAGCGCATGGTATGTAGAACTAGAGATTCAGCGCAGAAAACGTTCGAGCGCGCGCGCACTCATGAAAACATGTTTTAGTGCGGCCGTTACGTAACTTGCGTACGCTACAACATATCCATATCTTCCTTGTCGTCGTATTGCGATACATTCATTCCTCGTCCTTTGTTGGCTAACCAAGCGCATCAGCCGACTGCTGCCCCCCCCCCCTTTTTTTTTTAAATGCGAAACATTTCTTTGCGTACTGCAATCATATTTGGAGTCTATCTATATCTATCTATTTGTCTATCTGCGGCAACCAAAATTAGTATGGCAGCGTAAAATGGTTTGGCGAATATGATACGCTGTGAATAAGATATGAATAATGTAACAATCCCGTCGCGTACGTTGTCAAACACTTCCCTCCAGACAGTGGCACATACCCGCGGGCGGGTATGTGCCACTGGTATGTCCCACAGCCTCGTAGGTCGGCGAACTCATTCATGAGACGCCTCACTCAGACTCAGATCGAGCCACGATTCTGAGTGAGTCCGTGTGAGTAATACTTCCGTGAATAAGTCCGAGTGAGTTGGCTTGAAGAAAATTTTCGTGAGTTCGGTTCGGAAAACTTTTGGTGAGCCTGGGTCCAAGTGAGTCAAAACCGAAATATAGATTTCTTGAATGAGGGCCACTATCTTTTGTCGACCTAAGGTCCTATCTACAGTCATCTTCAGCATTACTGTCAGCCTTACCAGGATTCCTGTTTATACTCACGTCTACCCACAGGTGTTCCAAAGCAGTGTCGTTCACACACCGTTTCAAAATTTGCTATAAGAGGCGCGAATTACATAGGAAGGGGGGGGGGGGGGGTTGCCTCGTCCTTCCGCCCTCCAACTTTTCAAGGGAAGTTCTTCATAAATATATCTTATGCTCTCATCTATTCAAAAAAATAACCACTGATTTGCATGCACTCAAAACTTCTTTTCAAAGATACCACGTAAAACGTAGCCAAGAAGAGCATAATTACATAAGATACTGGTGTTAAAGAGCCCTGACTCCATTGTCGAAGAAGCTAATTCTAAGCTAAAGGGGTCATGAGTCGACTCGCTCAGAGCCAGCCCGAGCGTGAGTCTGAGTGACTGTGGGTGAGTAATGTTTTAATGAGTTTGAGTCTGGTTAAAGAGAATTGTCGTGAGTGTGAGTCTGATTCAGAAACCATTTCGTGAGTCCGAAGCTCAAAATATAATTCATGAGTGAGTCTGAATAAGCTCCGCCAGTTTTGCGGACCTATGGCCACAGGTGATTGCCACATAGTATCTAGTAAGTGAGTGGCTGCCATGGATCATCCCCTGAACCCATCAGATACTAAATTGTGTGGTGCAAAAGGTCATCTTGCATACATTTCATTCCAAAACTGCAGCCCTCAGTGCAATGAGCTTGGAGAAGGTGATGATTTTTGTTTTTACGCGCAAGTATACATTCTCTAGACACTGTAACGCAAGCGTGCGTACCTCATCTGTGAAATCGGTGAACTCGTGTGACGCCGTGGGGGAGAGGGAGAAAAAAAAAGACGTCAGACAGCTCGGAGCAGCCTACGTAGGCAAAGTCACGTGGGACTCTGAGGAGGCGCGGCGCGACGTAAACAAACGACGACACGTGTATAACGGGCCTCTTTAAAGGCGCGTAAAGAGATCTGCGTCGTCAAAAAAGTCCAGCAGCGCATGGAACGCCCGGCGGATTGTTGCAGCGTTAGCCGAGGGGAACAACATGTGTTCTGGACTCGCGTGTGGCAGTCCGAGTTGCGCATAGGCGTTGAAGAGTCGGCGACGAATATCCGTGTATCCCGGGCACTGGCACAAGATATGTTCGACCATCTCGTCTGCCGGACACTGCACGCACGAAGGGCTGCCACTGCGACTCTGACTGAAGAGTCGGTGCGCGGTTCGGCTGCATCCAGTTCGAAGGCGCAGCAGGAAAGCACGAGCGTGCCGACTAATTCCTGTTGACGGCAGGCGCGCGACAGGATTGCCGGCTGTTGTGCGGGGGTCCGGGTGAAGAGCCCGGACGTGGCGTGCGATAATCTGCCGTGCCACATCGAAGCTGTGCACGAAGTTCGTTGCGGGTGTGGCCGGGTAGTGGGCGTCCTTTGCCAGCGCGTCGGCTGCCTCGTTGCCGCGCACTCCGACGTGTGGGGGCACCCTCTGGAACGACACAGCACACGCACTTCGCACAATAACTGTAAACTTGCGCGTGAGGCGCTGCGCTATCAAGGGCCATTTTTTCCCCTCGCGAGGGTGAGGAGCGCCGTCCGAGAAGACGACGGCCGATCGAAGAAGCAGCTCGTCCAGCTGATCGGCCGCTAAGTTGAGTGCCGCGAGCTGAGCGGTCGTCGATGGCGCCGGAAGGGGAAGACGGCACTTCCTCTCATCTCGGAGCGCCGGAATGAAGCTGGCAGCAGCAGCCGAGCTGTCCCTTTTCACCGAGCCGTCAGTGTACAGATGTAGGTGGCCGGAGTACCGCTCCTCGATGAGGCTGCAGGTTTCTTGTAGTAGGGCAGCGCGAGGTGTGTGCCGTTTGCTGCGTATGCCTGGAACTCTGGTCGATGTGGCCAGCCGGGAGTCCCAGTGAGGTGGAATAGGCAGGAGTCCGGCGAAGGGGGCTTCGGAGATGAGGCCGGCGTACTCCAGCGCGCTGCGGCCCATGCCAGTGTTGGGCAGCGACAGGAGCCGATTAACCAGCGCCTTGCCCCCTCGCGTCATGTGCATGCGCTCGACGTGGCGTAGAGCACAGGCCTTGGCTCTGAGCGAGAGGGGAAACTGGCTGGCTTCGGCGTATGTCACGCCCACTGGGGAAGATCGAGGTATTCCAAAGAGGCGGCGTATGACGCCGCGATGTGCCGTCTCGAGAGTGTCCCATTGAGACGCACGCAGTGTCACCAAGGAGAACGCATAGAGGGCCCTGGCTCCAGCGACGGCGTTGTACATCCTCGGGGCGATGTCAGGAGAACAGCCTTTGCCCCGCGCGAGGAGAGAGGATGCCGCTCCTGCGACACTGCGAGAGCTTAGCCGGTGGATGGCAACTGCTGGCTTCCAGCTCAGGTGGTGATCTAGCGTGATTCCGAGGTATCGCACCGATCGTCGCCACGGCAGAACGCGTCCCCGGAACGTGAGGCGGCCAACCTCGTATATCGGCCCCTGAGGGTGGGGTGGACGAGAAGCGCTTCGGTCTTGGCAGTGGAGAGCTGAAGCCCAATGCTCGAGATGAAAGCATCCACGGCCTCGAGAGAGCGCTTGATGCTCTGTCGCACCTGTTTTCCGCACGAAGTGGGTCCACTCGCAAAGAGGCCGACGTCGTCCACATAGATGGCAATGCGCACCGCGTACTGCAAGTCGCGCGGGTTGTAGTCCACGATGCGCGCGAGGGCGAGATTGAACAGCATGGGGCCCAAAATTCTGCCCTGCGGCACACTAGCAGTGGACGGGCGAGGCGCGCTGAGGTCGCCAGAAATGCGGACACGGAAAGTTCTGCCGTCGAGGACTTCCTCGAGAACCGAGAAGCCTGCCGCACACACCCATTGCATGTAGAGCGTCCAAAACGGCCGCATGAGGCAGGCAATCGAGGGCACTCTTGATGTCGAGGAGAACCAAGTATCCGGCTTCACCGCGGAGCTTTGCATCCCCCAGGGTGGTGACAACGTCGGAGATGCAGTCCGCGGTGATCGGTGGCAGCGAAAGCCGCTCTGCACGTTCGCCAGGAAGTTTAGGGCCGCAGCTATCCATTCGATACACTTGAGAACCATGGCCTTCATCACTTTCCCAGCAGCTGACGTGAGCGAAACCGGCCTGAAGGAGATCGGCTCCGACGAGGGCTTGCCCTTCTTGCGTACCGGAATGACGATCGCCTCCTTCCACGTCGCTGGAAACGCGCCAGAGCGCCAGATGCGTCGATGCGTCGACGCATCTGGCACTCTGGCGCGTTCGCATCGACGCGGTGTACACACCGCGTCGATGCGGTTGTACACTGTCCAATCCTCCGCCCTCCCGGAGCGCTCAGCCCGGCGTTGAATCCGACGACGAGCAGCCCGGAGGTTCAGCTGTTTGATATCAGGCACCGGCGTCAGAGCAAACACTCTCTCCCCTTCCCTCGTGGTCGGGGAGTGCCTTAACTTCTTTCTACCTGTCTGGTGTTTTTTTTTTCTTCTCTGGCACATTGCTTCGCCTCCGGCTTCTCGGTGGTCTTTCGGTGGGTTGCGTGTGCCGCGTTTGGTTTCTTACGCGCGCGTGCGTGATGCGAGTGATCGAATGCTTTTCACTACCCTTCTCTTATCCCTTCCTTCTGTCTCTTTAATTCCCATTCCCCCTTCCCTGCGCATAACTGTGGAGCTGCCCTCCACTGAGAGAGGCAGTAACGGGACTGCGCTTTTTCTTCCTTTTTCGTCTTTTCAAAGCCACTTCGTCATGTGACGCTGCGCGAGCGTCGAAGGAGAGCGCGTGGAGGGGGAAGGTAAAAGAGCGCTACAAGGAAGGCTGATAGAACTGCAGCGGTGTTGGCCAGCAGTTACAGCCGCCGCTTGCCAAAAGAAATACACTATAGGTTCAATTCTCCGTAGAGCGCTTCTTGACGGTAAAGTGATGCCGACCTCCGACGACAGTGTAGCTATGACCGACTGGACTTGCTCTACGCCACCTCCTGACGCCGACAAGAGCTCTCGCAAGTGGTGCCCCGTCCTCGGACTCTTGTGACCGTGTTTCCATCTTTCCTATCTCTCCTATCCCCTCGATATGTCGTCGCTCTCTGGCTTACATGCCTCTTTCTCTCTCTCTACACCTTTATTCCTATCCTTTTAATCCCTCCTCACCCCCATTCCTTGTGGGCTACTGTTGAGGTGTCGCTCGCTGAAGCCGACAGTTACGGGGCTCACTTTTCTCTTCCTCTCTCTCTTAGAACCACTTTGTGATAAATGTTTGGAGTGCATGCTCATTAAGGGTCTCTTACACTGAGGACGCTTCAACCAAAACACTGAAGGTGCGTTTACACAAGAGAGACACGATACCGATTTCGGTCAGCGGGCTGTCTTTAGGAGTGTCTTTTCCCTTGTCGTCGGCCTATGTATACACTGCAAAGACACAAACAGTCCGCGGTTGGTCTCTCGAAGGTCCCGCCCGCGCCTTGTACTCACAGTCTTTCGTTTGTCAATTCTGTAGTCACATTGGAGGCACACGCAGCGACGCGGACTAAACTTGCATTCCTGCACCTCATTTTCAGCCATGCTTCCCGCTCTGCCATTGTCCCTATCTGGTTACGCGGCGCAGCCCTCACCATAATCCGTGGTAGCGAGAGACGGGGTTGGTGCACACAATAGGGAAGCGAAGAAAAGACTTCCGTTGGGTGCTCGAGCTGCCTATTCAGACGCCGCAAGCCTCGGAGAGGGCATTGTTAACTCCCCGAAGATTGCCTGCTTCGTGGTCGTCGGAAGCAAAGACGTGGGGCAAATTTTCGCTCAGCCGCCGATCTCCCAAGACACGCCGACGACCGGTTTGCGGATGCGTTTTGCTAGTGTTTTCGGTGCTAGTTTTTCGGCCTAGAGTGTGACAATGGGGTCTAGTGACTTCGTTGGCGTTTGCGTCTGCCTTGTGTTTTCGTCGGGCTCATGTCAGTGCCGTGTCTCTCTAGTGTCGTTTGGGAGGTAAAAGAGCTCGCGTGAGGAAAAGAGAAAGGAACTCGCGTCCAAGGCAGCAGAAGTGCCTATAGACTATTTTACCCAAGAGGTGTGGGCGCCGCCATCTTCCGCTGTTAAGCTGGTGTTTTCTTGTTACGTATATCGTGGCGTGAGTTTATAATGTCATGAAACGTCGTATGCACCAACCAAACCGTTTTCATGTGCACTCAAACCTGCCTATAAAAGTGTACTCTATATAAGGCTGGTGCACACCGGCGACTAGCAGCGGTCGCGCGACCATTCGTGACTGGCTACCAAAAAGCGACTAATGTTCACGCCGGCAGAGGCTGCATGCGAGCGACCGGAAGTCGCAAAGCTGGAGAGTCCATAGAGTTTACCAAAATTAACTAGAGGGCACTCTGGCGCTGCAATCGTTCAGCTACCATGGGAATGATGGGTAGTACACACATTTGCCTAGTCTTCGTACCTGCGGGCGGCGAATCGTACTTGCGGCTTTGTTTATTACTGGTTACGGTCTCGTTTTGAAAGAAAGAACGAATCCTTTTGAACTTAGGGACTTGATTCGAAATAGCTTAAAAGAATAAGGTTGTGAAGCGCAAACGGTGAACATTTGCTAATTTATCTCTTCGTGAAAAAACAGCTCCAAACTACACGAACACACACGGATCCAGAAGCAGGCCAGAAGTACGAAAATTAGACAAATGTGTGTACTACCCATCATTCCCATGCTCGCTGAAGTGCCATGTGTTGCAACTCCCATAGACACTAGCACCAGAGTTCCCTCTAGTAAGTATTGTGGGAAACCCTATGGGAGAGTCACGTCCGGATCTCGTTATCTGCAGCTAGAACTCTAGAGACCGGCGCCGATCAGCTGATCACCGTCAGCTCAGTGAGCGGAGGAAAACGAGCGTGCCTCATTTATTGTTTTCGTCCGTTATTGCACAGCGTTCCCATCAGCGTCAAGGAGTTCGATTCCAGCGAAGAACAAGAGATTGTAATGGTGCTGGTGCACTGTGCCATAGTGTCAGCGCTGGCAGCACAAATGTCTCCAAAGAAAAAAAGCCGGTGGTGGTTGTGACCGTATCATCGATCGCGAGAGTTGGCCGGCCATGCAAGCCGCCTACCTCCCAAGCTGCGCTGAGACGACGAGGATTATTTGCGATAGTCGTACGTATTCAAAAACGCTCTTGGATTTCTCTTGACTAGCCACAGCCTCCAACGCAGCCCGAACGCGTCTCGAACGCGATGTCCTAAGTCGTTGCCAAGGCATGAAGCACAAACACGTTCCAAACACGCTGCATTGAAGGCGGTGACAAGTCAAGTTCAAGACAAAAAACGACTCTGAATACGGGCGAAAGATAGTGCACAATTCATTTTCTCTTTATTTTCACGTTCAACTTCCACCCTCAACTGCCCTCAACTCTTCCATCAAGAGCTCGGGGCTAAGCTCCACCTTCACGGCGCCTGCGTCACGATGTGGCGTGAGACCGCATAAGCATAAATCCCGCCGCCGATTCGATACCGGCAGTTTGTGCTGCGCGTTCCACAGCCAATCAGATCAGCTGTAAACGATGAGGTCAGTGGGGAAGAGCGTGTTGCTTGGTGTATGGGCGGTTGAAAAGGCGTTTGGCCGCGGGTCGCAGCGATCTGGAGTGATTCGCAGCTTTAAAGCGTTGTATTAAATTACACAGTTTACGCAGAGAGCTCAAATTCGTCTCTAAATTACCCTTGGGAGATGGTATACCGGCCCAATGTATTTGTGAAAATTGTCAAAATTGTTTCAAGGTCCCTTTGAGGTCGAAAGCGGTCGCTTTCGAAGCTCGCGACCACTTCTCCGAAAATGGTTGGCGCCACAGCTTCGTTGTTTTCCTTCGGTAGTGTGCTGTTGCGTGCCTCAGCGAAGGCAGCCTAGAATTCCTATATAGGAGAACGGCAGTGCCTACGCCTCTTGATACGAGATGCGGTGGTGAGCCGTTCTCGTGTGCGGCGGTCACAACTATCGGAAAGCAGTGTATACGTGGCCCACTGTTCTCACCGAAGCTTGCAAAGTCACGAATTAGACGTGCCTGACACAGTAAGGTGATTTATTGTCAGTATTATCGCTTCCCGTTTACGTTTTGCGCGCGATAATCTCATCTTTGGCCAAGTTTTTTTTTGTTTTGTTTTTCATATGATCGCACTTGGCGGACTCGCGTTGCTGCGAACGATACTCGTGCGCACGTATTGTGACACACATGGCAAAAAAATTATTCGAAGCTGCTTCATCTAAATAGGTAGCAAAAAATATTAAATAATATTTTACTGTTACATTATGTTTCGTACCCCGAACTTACCGTATCTTCAGAAGAAAACAGCCTGCCGAGGATATTATCCGGCTGATTCGCGCCGTTGTTACCTTGCACTCAGCGGATTAAACATGAAGTGCAAAGCTGCAAGTGTATTGTAGATTCACAATATGAACCGCAATGAGGCTGCGAATGGCACGCAGGTGCTATACAAGCGAATATCGCAGCACGTTTTGCTCATACTCAGCACAAATGTTTTGCTTTTCCAGCTCGTCTATCAGATAGCGGTGGTGGCGGCGGTGCCGCCAGGCGCAGCCAAAATCGGCTCGCACGGCTCGCCTCCTTCTCGCTGGCACCCGTCGTGGAAGCGCGTGCCGCCGTAGCGGGCTCAACATTGCGAGGAGGAGTCCTCTATTCTTCCCCACTTTCGGCTTCACAAAATGGGATGTAGCAACCTCTCCTCAGCATGTTCCTTCCTCCATGCGAATATATCGATTTCTTGGCTTCATCTTTGGTAGCTGCTTGGCCTGGAGCCATATCTCGTGCGTGACGAAATGATTGACCGCTAGCGTTTCTCGGCGAACACGTCATATACCGCCGATGCTCCATTTGCTTATAATGCCCTCTTTTCGGGTTTCGGTGGTTTAGCTTACCTGTGCTCCATAAACATACTTGCGCAACAAATATTAACAGACTTCACCGTTCACAATTAAGCCGAAGCACTCACAACATGTTTGTCTCCCGATAAGTGTTTTTGTTTTTTAATTTTGACTGTGGTCATTGCCAGATAATTTTGCTAGTTGGCACTGACGTCTTGAGAGCACATATTCGGCACTTGCCTTTACTTCTCACACCATCTTGCCTGCCTTCCAGCCGCGAGGTCATATTCAAAATTTGCTAAAAACGCCAGGCCTATATATACTTCTCAATAAACTTTACACATGCTAACACGACGCCATATTGCACCGGCCTGAAGTACACTTGACGATTCCGGGCACGAAAGGAAGATGGAGCGCCGTTGCACGCTTTAAAGCTTGAAACCATCACACATTACTTGCGCAGAACCTATACCAAATATACACAACATATGGTGAACCCAGTAGCTCTTCGCCAGCAACCGTCACGGCGAAACTTAAATAATATGAAGTTGAAAACATCATCAATGAACACATCGACAGGTGTGGAGTTGTAGCACTGTGTGGTTTTATTTGTCGGAAAGCACCACAACAGTGGGAAGTTTTGTGACTACAAGTCAACCTTCCAAAGCAACGAAGCGCAATGTGCCATATGGATTTGACGAACAACTCACCTCGGAAATTCGACAGGCCTGCCACCGCAGCCATGACAAAGGGCATGATATACTTCTTCGATGGCTTGTGGGACACAGCAATATCAGTGAAGACGACCACGCCGATAAAGACACCCGATCTGCACATGAGAGCGGCCGAAGTGCCTCAATTCTGTTTTCGTGCGCCGACGTTTCGCCTCTGTCTCGCTTCATATCCCCTGAATGCGCATTGACCATGTGGTTCTCCAACGTTTTCTGCACGTGTCGTTTTCCCCGGACCCACTCCTATAGCGCCTGGAATTACCACTGCCCAAACAGACGATGATGCACCGTCCATGGCTCCGCGTTGCACTTTCCAACATATACGCATTGCCTATCGGAATGACCGACAGCCTACGAGCAAGTACGGTGCATGTGGTTGCGACGACGCACTATATAGCGCACGTTATTTTTGTCTATACCCCCGCTGTAGTACTCAGACTTGTTGACAGGTGATGTGCGAAGTGCTAGGCGATTTGTCAATCGTGCAATAACAGAACAAAAATATAAAAACGTGCTTTCAAAGAAACCCCATGCGGAAGGCTATTCCCACTTTTCAAATTTATGAAGTGTACGGGTTTTCAAGAGGTTACAGTGCTAGCGGTCGCTTTGTTACACTAAATCCCTACCTTTTAAATCCCGCATCCATCTTGCCTGTAGGGTAGTCAACCGGAGCTATAACATTGGATTAGCATATTTGCCTTCTCTCTTTCTAGCCGCATATTTATATGAAATCTTTCGTTGAGCTTTTTATCCGCATAAGCTTATAAGTTCTGAGGCTAGTGCTAACTATAATTGCGTTAGAATTTCAAACTCATCCACTTTTCATCCATCGGCATAGTCATATTTCTGTTTGTGCCCTTACTACGTTGCTTCACTTTTTTGGATACTGCAGCGTCATGTATGAAACTATATATAGTGTCAATTAAGGCACACGGTATACCTGTGCATTTATCAGCAAGCGTAAAGAACAATTAGAGCAAAGAAAGTGACAGCGTGAATGAAACAATGACAAGAAAGAATCATGGGAGCAAAGAACACTATAGTGTTACTAGTAAAGAACAACGAAGTGTGTATCCATCTAATGTATGAAGAAACCAGTAGACTTGATGAGTAAAGCAAAAAGCGCGGTGAATGTTTATTTGCAAATATTCACACACACTGTGCAACTTTTTACGCGGAAATAATAAAAAAAAATACGTTAAAGTGCATGGAAATTAATAGAAGCCAAAGACGCCGAAATCGTAATAAATTTTCACATGAATTCTGCAATATGCCTTAGTTTCCTTAAAGCATCACTGATTGCGATGCTATCGCGCTGATTACTAATCACAGAGCTTTGTCGGTGCCTCCTGTTCACTTCAGTCATCTGTACCTTATGTGCCCACTTGTTCATAGATGTCCTGTGTGCGTGATGTCTTAGTGCTTATCTTGATGGGTTATACAATTCAGGAAGACTGTATGGGCACTATGAGCCCGACATTTCCTGACTGTGATGCATTTGTATTTTGTTCAAAGAAGCGAAGAAAAAAAAAGACGCCGAAAAAAAAACTGTTTAGTGATTAAGGTGTACATGCACGTGTGCTTACCAGCATACTTCTTCTATGTGGGCGACGTCGGAAGCATTAAATCTGTGTTTCTGTATCTGGTGGATATGGCTCCTGCAATCTTGGAGTCCAGTGACAGCCTTCTCTGCATCACAGGCTGCTAACGCCGAAGACACCGCTGCAAGTAATACTGTATATATCGTCACATTTAGTGAAATTATTCCGAAGAAAAGAAAAGCGAAAGACGAATCGTTTTGGTTGTGTGTAAACGTCACATCGAAAAATTGTCTAGCTGACTAGAAGATGAAATAGCGCATATAAGTAAAATGTACCTCAAAGCGATTTTCAGGATTGTGCAGCTTAAGTCCGTCTATTATTCAGTACTATCATCAACGGACAGGTTCAGCTAACTCATGGCAAGCGTTATCAAGAATCTGCGTGCACACATACGTTACTAGAATGCAAATAACCTATTACTCTGTAATTCTGTAAGGGGGACACTTTCCTTTTGAAAACACATGCAAGAGTAAGTCACGTCGAACTTATGGCAGCGGTAGCAACTGATGCTCAATGAAACGTGTAATAAGTACAAGCTGTTTGATTCGACCTTTGGTAATTCGGGAACGTTGTTCAGTGGCATCAAACTCTCGTTAATTCGGTCATATTCGGTCGCAAGCCGGCTGATTCGGATGATCTTGGTAGCGCACCGAGCGCGAAGCACAGGATATCTGCCGCGCATAGGAGCGAAAATGCCTTCTTCTGCATTGACGTAGCCATCATTATGAACCGTACAGTATAGTGATAGGAAAGCCAAAACGGTTTTGCATTTACCAGTGAGCGTCACATCTCTTGGGGTGCAGGTGTACGAAAAGGCATGAACCGGCATCTACCATTGCGATACCCTCCCCCCCACCCCCGCAAAAAAGAGTTCATGTTCAACGCCGACTGCATACCGGTGCTACAGTTGCAGTGATCGTCATGGCGGTCGGAGGTAAAACCAGAACGTTCGAGCGCTGGGGAAAAAGAACGCCAGTTCTGCACAACGTGAAATCTGAAGAAAAAGTGGATCTGTGGTTCTCCTGTCTTTTTCGTTGTGATTTTCCGCGATGCTTCCCGATTTTGTGTGGGTCATTACGTTGTTTGTAGAGGAGACGCCCGGGAAAAGACTTGTGGCAGCCCTTTGCCACACCCGCGTTTGCTACGCTCGAGGCGCCCTTCCCCGTTTCATTGTGCGGCTACCGCCTCGTCCGCGACCAAGGCAGTTGTACACCGTGTATTGGTGTATCTGAGAACCGGATCGTGACAGGTGACGCGGACACTCACCTGTCGTCGGGCCCAGCCTTAGAACAGATGCGCTGCTAAAAAGGTTCCACAGGAACGACAAGGGCGTCTCCTGAGGCCCTGCATCCTGTTATCTTGAACGCGGCAGCCATGGGCGTCGCCAGGGGTGTGCAACAGAGGCACTTGCCCCCCTCAAGCCAAACACCTCTCCAACCCCCCCCCCCCCAACTCTGGCCACGATGTAACACAGCTGTGCACCTTCCCAAGTCAAAATCCTGCCGACGCCCATGGAGGCAGCCTAACTAGAAGTTCTGATTCTGCAAGTTCTGGCATATACCTCGTTTTTATTTTTCGTTGTGCGATACATGTATGCCTTCTAGTAGACTTGCCCCCCGTGTGTTCGCCTATTAATTCTAACTGTAACTCGCGGGCCTTAAAGGGACACTGAAATACCTTTTCAAAAAAAAAAAAAACGATGTTATGGTGCCATGATATACGTATAGTAACGTGCGGTGAACTCGAAAAATCAAGTAAAAAGTTCGTATAAATCAACGCAAATAACTTTATTTTGCCAAAAAAAGCAGCACGTGGCAAGGCCTTAATCGCGAGTCTCGCCGCCTCTGTCATTGGTCGAAGCTCCATCATTGACATCATTGACAGGAAGGTGATGACAGCTGACTGCGCTCGCCGGCAGGCGATGTTGGGTTTATCTGTTGAAATCGGGCAGTTGTTAGTATGGCGAACTGTGGAAGTCGTAGCGAGTTCGCTTACACATGTTCTACATGTCCGAGCCGGTCGCCAATGTAAGAGCGACCACCGAAGATGATGCCAGCGCTGACGATGGGGCGCAGGACAGCGAGTCCCAACCAGCCACCTTCACACTCGTCGAAAACATAGACTGGTACGTATAAGAGGCATGTCAGTGCTTGACTTCATTGTAGTAAACTGATACAAACGATACGTTTAACCGTATAGATATTAAATCCGATAAGGGACAGCAGCATCAGTCGCCTATGGGCACGCTAAGCGCGGTCATCATGCGGCAACCAACATCAGCTGTTCATGAATTTCACTGCTCGTAGGGCAGCGTTGTTGATGCAGTCAGTATCGCCCTTCGCAGCGGGCAAGAAGCAGGCAATGAGTAGGTGTGTTACCGGGCTACTAAGCGGACAGCTTGGATTTCATGTGGGGGCATTCGGCAGTGATAGAATGTTACGGAAGCGATTAAATGTTGTCTAGATAATCGTATGACTGATTGTGGCATCAATGCATCGATGGTTTTAGATTTTGATCGGAAAATATTACCCGAGCCGGAATCGAAATAAAGCACCCGTGGTACACGGTCTCTTTCGTTGGCCATCAAGACTGGCTCTGATAAATGTCCTTTAAAAGGCGCTATCGCGAGCTGTCGCTGCAACAGGGAGATCGCGGACTACTGGGCCCCTGATGGAGCAAAACTACTATGAACGGTTTTCGCGTAATGGCTCGCGATCCGCGCGTTCCATAGAGATTCGAAGCGTGCGTCGCGGAAGCGAGGCAGCAGTGAGCTGATCATGGCTGCGGTAAGCGCATGCACTATATACGCGCTGCTATGGCACATAAGTAGTCTTAGGGCCTTGTCTCAGTTTTTCTGTTCACGGAAGCAACTTGTGGTAGCTGCGAGGCCCCCCAGGTGCGGAAACACAAGGAATCGCGTCGCTGTTCAGTCGCACATACTTGATCGTCAATCCCAGCGACTGTCTCGCAGGTTTGAAGTTTCTTTTAACTGCAGCGGCCCATTTTGCAGCCGTCTTCTGATTCCGAGGAAACTTGTGAAATGCGACCTGATCGCGAGCGATAGTGCTGCGGTAGTAATATGCCGCGCAGTAATTCGGCATCGCGAGTCCATTTCGAGCCCGCAAGAGCACAACTAATGAATGTCGGATAGCGATTGATTGATTTGTGGGGTTTAACATCCCAAAACCACCATACGATTATGAGAGACGCCGTAGTGGATCGGATAGTGAAAATCTCTAATCAAAATTAGGCAACGGTGCAATGAAGAGAAATCTCTATACGAACTGACAGTACTGATACCTCGCTGGGCTGCAGATCGCACCAGAAAACATTGGCCCCGTATCTGCATGTTTCACTGCAAATGTCATCGAAAGACGATCTTGCCTGTGGAGAGAGTGAAGAAAAACGTTTATTTGATGTTCTGCGCGAGAAAATTGGTGAATTTTATTCTGGAAGCGCTGCGTTAGAGAGTCTCGATCCGTGGAGCGAAGGCGAACGAGCGCATCGAGGCAGTTTAGACACGAGCATAATCTGGCAGTTATCTTCGAAAACGAAGGAAGGCGTGAGCGCCCGCGGAGAGAGATGCGCGCCTGTTTCGGAGGCGATAAGGAGTAGAACGCAAAGCGACGGGCAGGCGCCACCACCGTGTCGTCATGGCAAAGCATTGAAAACACTTGCCTTTTTGAGCATGGCGTTGCACTGCCAGCGCAACGTGATAAACGCTACGGTCTTTAGAATTACTTGTGTGTGCTTTAACTAGTATAAAGACACACATACAAAACATCGACGTGTTGTTATGGTGCCTCACATATGCGAAATAATTTATTTTTAACTGACAATCGCATAGGTATGAACGCTGAAACGTGAGGAATATTGGTGGGCGCTGCGGATGGTGTTGGCCGTTTGAGGTATCGTTTGGTGCCTTGGAGGAATCGTTACCGCGGACATACATACATACATACATACATACATACATACATACATACATACATACATACATACATACATACATACATACATACATACATACATGCATACATACATACAGACCGAAGCTTTGGCGTCGAAGGTCCTCAAGCAAGACTATCGTCTTTAAAAAGACACACTGCCGCGAAAAAAAAAACGTCGTAGGCATGTTGTAAGAGGTCGCAGATTCCCAATTTGCAATAAAATTGTGAATGCGAAACCGCTTCAGTGTGCCTTTAATTTTCGTTGTTTACCTTTTTCTTTTTTTTCTCCAGCGTAGTAAAGCAAGAATATTGCATTTCAGACTGATCTCTCTGTCCGTCTTCCCAAATGAGCTATTCCTGCCCGTTGATTCGACAAGTTCTCATAAATATAGTGCGTATAGATTTCTTTCTTTTTTTCCTGCAAGGACACTTGTAGTTTTTTTTCTTCTGCAATTCACGTACACACTCTCATGAGGTAAATAAGTTGACGCGTATGATCACGCATAATTACCCGTCTTTCCCATTCTTTCATAAGCAAATAAAAACAGAAACAATGCGGAGCACAGCTACTGAAGGGAAGTTGTGATGCTGCCGAGCTGAAAGTTTAGTTGCGGAAAAAAAAAAGGTATGCCGATAATGGGACGAAACATGCAGGGTATATATGACTAGAAGTATCATTTTTTTCTGTTCGTTTTTTGTTATTCATGTATATATTAATTGTTATCACTTGTTTATTCCCAGATAGACGCGCGCAGGGCTTTCCTTCAGGGTGGAGGGGGAGGCGAAGGTTCATTGCGCGCATCCCCTCCCCATCCCTATTAGATCAATGTATATGGAAGACTTCGCTCCCCTTCTCCTCTCTTAGGTGATTAGGGGAGGGACTTTCCGCGCTCCTGTCCTTCCTCATGCGCACGTTTACGCTTATTCCCTCACTATATATGGAGGCACTGCGCCGTGCTCCCGACCGGGTTGCAGAAATTAGGTGCCTTTTCTCATCTTCTAACCACTACCACCACCTATATGGTTCATTCCTCCCTTCGAACGGCTCGCTTGCGTCTCAGGTACTGTATCCTCTATGGCTTCGAGTAGGCCCCCCAGATATGGTGTCCCATAGGACCAAGATTAAAAAGAAAACGTGTGCTCTAGGAAAGTCCTACCTGTTGTATATTAGTGGTAGTCGTGT